AAAAGTCGTTATACAATGTACGTCAATAATTATACTGACATATCTTCACATATCGAACTCTTGGCATCAATTTTGAGGGCGTACGAAGGATCGTCATGCCATAAGGGTATCACGCAGTCAGCCAACATATGATACTTCTGTCTTTCTTACATAAAGCCGTGTCCCCCAACCGTCAAGGGTCTATAGAGCCAGGTACAATTGTTATCGACGTGTCCACTTGAATATTTCAGTGGCACAGTAGAGCCACGGGTTATTGGCCGTAACCATATGTTTTCTGATGAAAGAATATATTTTTCATTTGATGAAAAATCAACGGAACGTAACATGAAACATCTTGGACTTTTTGTGATGATAGGCGAGTGAACTCGAATAGCCGACTGATTGAAGTGGAAAGGATGAAAACTTCTTGTTCTCCCTTCTCATGTTGTTGGGAAGAAGATTTGCAAATTAGTAAAAAAATCAGATTGGTAAAAAAGATTTCCATATTAGTAAAAAAGGATTTGCCCGTCCATTGTCAACCTCAAACTTTCGCTGAATATTCTTAGAGGAGAATCCCACAAAGTATCTGAATACACTTGGTCTACAGCCTTACATCCTCTTTCATCCGAAAATTGTATGAAAAAGTGTCTCCCCGAGCCTTAACTTTAGAAAAGTATACAAGAAACGGTAGGGGAAAGAATGCCATGTCATTTTCACCTTCTGATTATCGATTCAATGCTCCAAGCCTTCAGTCATAAGCACTCGAATTTTCATTTTAAAATAAAAAATTTCAAAGAGGTGGCAGAGACTTTGAAGCTCGATCACACAACTTTCAATTTTTTTTTCCACGTCTTAACGTCATTCCTCGCTGTTCGGAATACATAATCGATTTGTCTTGCGACGTCACATTGTTATTTTCTCAGGTTGAAGGGGCTGATGCCCCCAAGGCACTCACGCCTCATTACCACAAATGACGAGATACTTTGTCACGTGCTGGGGTATTATGGAAGATATACTTTTTACCTCCGGATCATACATGTATGATCAAAAATAGTCCTTTCATTCTTGAGAACGGGAGGATTATTGAATGAGAAAAAAAATCGGGAAACGTTATGATTGAAAAGGTGTTATCCGCACATACGCCCTTATGTTGTTGAGAATGGTTGGCCCTTGAGAGCGTCTGATTGTTAAAAACTTCAGCTTAAGCTCATAAGGGTCACATGGCTGACCCTAACGAGCCTTTTGGCTCTCATTAAACTCTTGACGTTCACAAGCTTTCTGATCCCTATCAAGTTCATCATGGATGTAGAACACATAAGATGCCCTTATCAATTTACAACCCTTAAAAGTTTTGCGGTACCAGGACACCATTTTTCAGGATATAGAGAGACTAAGGGGCGCCGCCCCTTGCTCGCTTCGCTCGCCAATCGCGAAGGGCCTAGCGCTCCCGCTCGCTTCGCTCGTCCCCCTCCCACGGTTTTTCTCCGTGAGTATGCTTAGGTTGTATATATTCTTGACAGGTCTTCGATAACTAATATAAGTGACAGTCAATTTCAACAGACTCCGTTCACCTGAGACCTAAAAAAAGCAAAACATCGCGCTCTGAACAGTTTACGATTAGCATTTCACAACCATGTATTCACAAGAAGGGCTCCAATCAACGCCTTTCGTAGTGAGGTACAACCACTCTAACTTTATATTTTTTCTCACTGTTAACCCCCATTTGACCCTCGTGACCTTTTGACCCTTGTGGCCCTTATGGGCTTTAGTTTCTGACCCTTAAGACGTAGATGAAGGCAAAAAGCCATCTCTAATGAGTTCATTTTTCTTGGTATAGATTGTACGTTTAATAACACCGGAGTCAGAGTGTTTATAAGAATTTTGTTTAGTCTCAGCAGAGTGGAGGAGTGGGATGAATGCCTCTTTATGGATCAGATTTTTGACCAGAGTTCGTCACCAATTTCTTTGTGTCGAATCAGTCTCTAGGAGAGCTTTGAAGAGTAAAGACGTGCCCTCATTAATAAAACCAGTTAAATTCAAATAATCAATCACGAGTGTTTTCATTTATCGCCATAATCCTAATAGTCTCAATTTCGATTACCAAAGTTCAATCCTCAGAGGTCGATTTGTATTTTTATCGTATAGAGAGATTCTTTATAATCTTTTTACATTGAAAAACCCACCCTGTTGACACAGCACAACTCAAGTCGTGGTAATCACGTTTTTTTCGCACTAAATGCGACGTTAGTAGCACTCGTGTTACCTCTACCTCTTCGTCTTGACCTTCAACACGTATTACCGTCCTTGTGTTCCACATAATTGATCAAAAAATAATCGGCAAACACCACGCATCAAAAAATTGCGTGATAAAGAGTCCAGTGATGGCGAGGTCCGAGAACTGAGTCACTCACAACTATAAATGCGGCCTTAGCCTTGAAAGCTGATCCCTCTTGCCTTGTTCACGATTTTTAATTCAACCGATGGAAGGTGGGGTGAAACATGTTCGTTATACATATATGAAAATTCTATTGAAGCACACGCTAGGCGTACGTTAAGATCGTCATCTATAAATGTATCACCCGCCGAAGCACAAGATGATGTAGGAAACGAAAAATTCAGATGGAAACTCGAGATCGAAGATAAGTTTTATCACTGCTCTCCATAATATCGTTTAAAACTTCAATTTTATCGAAATACTTTCGTTAAAAATAGGATGAGGTAAAAAATGAAATCGAATCCTTCAAATTTGAGGGTCTAAATCACAATGGAGAGGTGATAAGAATCGAAGTCATAATGAAGGGCATTTTCCCCAGTGGAAGAAAACAAAATTATGTGTTATCAGGATCTGCACGAATGAGCATTGAGCGAAGGAAAAAACAGGAGTGTCTGGCCGATGACCCCGGCTAAATAATAGTCTGGTAATTCTGCATTGGGGGAACTCCCTCATGGATTTTAGGGAGATACGTATTATGACACTAATATTGCAAGGGGAAAGAGAGTGAAGAAATAAAAATATCGTTTGACGTCCGCAGAGGGAGAAAAGTGTGTAACTACCAGTTTTCAAAAATAAATTTTTATCTGGAAAATTGTGAATAAAAAATTGGGTAACTGGAAATGATTGATTTCGGAAGGTCAGATCTCCGGCGAGTAGACTCTTTTTATTATTAGACATTCATTTCATTGGCCGTGCCCTTCGTATAAATTAACAATGAATCAACTTTATCCTAGGAATCCGCTGCCAAAATTAATAGTGCGCGCGAGATTGGGGGATAGAAAAAGTGTAGAATATTTAATTCTTACAGGCGAAAAAGTTTATGAATAAAAGAAGTGAAAGACATGCGCACGTTCCCCATGGACTTGTGAATAATTCTGGCTTTTCGAAAATAAATTTATTGACGATGGGGTTCAACCAGATATGCATCGGTGTCAAAATACCTCATCACAAAATTATAATGGAGCCATATCAAGCCATCGAGCCATATCTGGAGTGAGAAATGCGCAATACCCTGCTGATGCTCTCAATATTCTCCAGTCATTGTTTGATAGTAACACACAAAAGTACAAACTCCATTGTGATAGTAACTGAAGACGAGTTGAGAATGAGAATGTGCACCTGTCGACTCACACTTTTTACTGAATTTTACTTCGTTTCGAAACGTAATTTTACGTTTTTTTTTTCTGATAATTTTTATTGAATTTTTCTCTCCGTGTGTTGAAATAGAATGAGATGGAACCATTTCTCCCAATTTTGTCACCTTTATTTTTCCAAAAAATGTGACCGAGGGCCAAATGCCGAGATAATCATCCCCACATTAAACTTCAAACCCATTTGTTAAAAAAATTCCATGAATAATGAATTAATTGAAACCATCCAAGAATGACGGAATGCGACCCACAATATCATTTGGCCCGTTGGCTAATCGAAATTATCTCCCCCAATCACCATGAATTGTCATATTTCACCCAATTTTACGTCGGAGATTATGTCCCCGAAACAACCAACGAAAATTGAATGGAACGTGCTGGGCTTATTGAGTTATCTCATCAAGGAAAATAATTCAATTACAATTTGTCTGCTTCATTCAATTGGCTCTCAAGGACCCAGTTGTAGCAGTTCTCATTTAGGAGTGAATTAAATGTCTGTTGAAGCATTTACATCTGATAAAACCGGAACTGAGGAGAATTTACTTTTGTTCAGAGCGCGGAGTGGCCGCAATACTATTGGCGTCCTTTAGAATGTCAAAAGTTTTAACGAGAGATACTCCTGATCAAAGTGAAATACTTCCTAATAAACAGAGCTGGACAAAATACTATTTAAAAATAATTTCTGTTGTCGACGGATGAAACGTGGAAAATTTAAAATAGTATTCAAATAATTCGATCAAGGAACATAAATAATTCATTGAATTTTCTCGAATTTTTTTTCATCACTGGAAAGTGTTTCTTTCCTAGAGAAGAAATTAGAACAGAAACAACAATGGGAACTGAGGAACAATAATTTTTCAAGATATAAAATACGTTACGAATGACATTATCATGTGAGGAGTGTGAGTTTTTCATGTAGTGTCCTCCTACTCAAAAAGTCTATCCAACAATATTCTGTGACATCACAACGGCAATAATTCGTCCATTCAGCCAATTCTTCGTAATTCATCGCAATTAATATCACAAGAGAGTTAATATCATCGCGAGAGATCAATGAAGGTGATGAGGGATAGAAAAAGGAAATATTCGTAGAAAAAAAAAACAATTTCCTGTAAAACCAAACAGTTAAATAGTGAAATAAAATTTAATTTTCTGTTTCATTGAAAGAAAATATCAAACAACTATTTTATTTCAATTTAAAAAAGCCATATAACTAAAAACTCTTCGCTCGTCCGAAATAGTCGACTTGAAATGGACATTTCAAATAGTATTTCACCGTACTGAACCATTTGGAATAGTATTTCTATTTGAGAAAATTGAATTGTTCATGTTTTTCATTAGCAAAAAATTACCATAAAATTGTTGCAAAAACTCACGATTTTGTGATGGAGATGCTGCAACTCTCGTTCGGTGATTCGTCTTCTCGACAATTCCCGCTGCTCCCGACGATACTGACTGTATTTGTAGAAAAGATACATTCCAGGAAGAGCGAGAACAACCAGGGGTTTCATAATACCAGCCCTGCCACCCTGTTGGCCATTAGGACGAGCCCCCTCTCCCCCCGGGGGTTCATCGGGGTCGTCCAATTGTCCAACGTCCTCGACTACTGCCGGCTCCTCCACTGCCTCCGCGGTTGGCATCCCTAGAATTACCTAAATTCATAAATAAATCGGATGAATTAGAAATCGACTGATGAATTTTGAATTGCGCAAACGCCACTGAATGATCAATTAATCAATAAAACTCCATCAATCACGGAGCAATAATGCGGTGAACGGATTTCCACGCGTTCATGATATTCAAACAGGAGTGAATGAGGAATGCCAATTGTATGACCATTCAAGTGTCTAACAATTAATTCCAAACCTCAACGCGAGAGGAATTAAATCCCTCCTGCCTTCAACTATTGGATTTTTTTTCTATTTTAATCCCAATGGTACTAATTTTTCTACTTCCCGAACAATTGAAAAGTCATTAAAAACTCAATGAAATTGCAAAAAAAAGTTTTCAATCCCAAAGGTACTTGGATGACACTCACAGATGGAAAGTTATCCCGAACGGGGCTTTCATCGTTCGGTATTATCCATCTGTTCGTCGATTCCTCATCAATTTTCATTCGACCAAATTTAAAATTCCAAAAAATCAGTAGTCGTTCTATTATTATGAATTACAGAATGAATTATCACATTGTTAGAGAGTGATCAAAGCAGTGCAAGTGATCGAATCATGGAAACTATTTCCAGTTTATATTTAAAGTAGTGTAAAATGCACAAAAAAATATTATTCATCATTTATGTCAATTCTAGATTTGATGGAGGTCAACAATTGATCAATCTAATTGCTTTTTTTTTACAAACAGTCTCTCGTTTTACTCGGGCAAGATTTTTTTTACGGTTCTTTCTACATTTTAATCTCGTTCTGAAATAATCATTTTCTGATAAAATTCTACGTTATTTGGCATTTCTCGAAAAATTGACTTGATTCAAGTTGATTTTTTGACCTGATTCACGTTGATTTTCCGGCTTGATTCGAGTCGGTTTTTCGGCACGATTCAAGTTGATTTTTCGGTTTGATTCATATCGATTTATCGGTTTTTCGGCTTGATTCATGTCGATTTATCGGCTTGAGTCAAGTCGGTTTTTCGGCTTGATTCATGTCGATTTATCGGCTTGAGTCAAGTCGGTTTTTTGGCTTGATTCAAGTTGATTTATCGGCTTGAGTCAAATCGGTTTTTCGGCTTGATTCAAGTTGATTTATCGGTTTGATTCAAGTCGGTTTTTCGGCTTGACTCAAATTGGTTTTTCGATTTGATTCAAATTGATTTTTCGACTTGATTCACGTCGATTTTTCGGCTTGATTCAAGTCAATTTTCGGCTTGATCCAAGTAGATTTTTTGGCTTTACTCAACGTGATTGTAGGGAGTTATGCATGGGGCGGTCGAAGAATCGACTTGAATCAGACCGAGGTCAACTTGACTCAAAACGATGTTATAAAGCTGCAATGTCCTTTAATCCCAAAGTAACTACCCCGTATAAAAAATAATAATTCTCGGATAATAACTCAAACTTGTTCGACAGGTATTTAACCCAATGACAGTTGCTCATGAACTTGCGAGAAGTTCAAACGGAACAAGTGCTAATAAAAAAAAAAAGATCCATCAATGAGAATGAAGTAATTATCAATGCAGGTTCGTTCACCGTCTATATTTAATTCGAGCGTCGACTCTACCAGGTTCTATTTTTAGTACCCTCCTTCCTCGTCTACTGCTCTAGAAATACTCCCAACCAACCTCTAACACACACACACCCACGACTGATGGCTCATGCATGCGGATAGAATTCCATTCTAGTTGTGTATCATTTACACGTGCACTTTGAACTCCGATGGATGCATATGATTGTCTTTAGGTGACGATGCCCCCATGCACTTCCGGTTGAAAGATACATTATGGTACTGCAGAAAATGCTGTACTAAAGGTTCTATTATCTAGTTTCATTGGGGCTCCAACTGTCATTACGTACCACATCAATATCAGAGGTTTACGGAAACCATTTCTGGTTAAAAGTCACTCGTAAGTATCCATTGACGAACTATTATGCTACCTTTTGCCCGTTGCATATCTGGGTCACTGTCGGACTGCACTGGAAGGGCTTAAGTTACCAGAATGAAGCCAGATTGATGCCCACCTACGATTAATTATTTCCAAGCAATCGAACTAATTCTTGTGACAAAAGGTGTCCAATGGGGGAAAAATAACATGAAAATAATGGCGGAGAGTCATTCGGGTGTTGCGATGAATACATTAATATTTTGATAATTTTCTGGGCTATTTCCATTCTAACTTGAATATTCTTTAAAAATAAATATATCTCTCTTGAATATTTTCTATTGAACATTTTAATAGAATCGGCCAAAAACTAATAGAACAGTTCAACAGAAATTCAATAGAATTTTCTAACGCATTCGATAGGTTTTTCTATTAAATTTTTTCGTCCGTGTAGTGTGATCTAATCGTTCAATACCCTCTCTCCACCTCCCGTCTTGTTTAAGTCTTTGAATCAAGTATTTTCAAAAATGAACCGAAAAAATGAAGGAAATGAACGAAACAACTGTGAACCTTTTCCTACGGCAACTCAGCTTATCTTGCGGAACTTGCATATCCCTCATTTCATGCGTGCGCAAAAGCGCGCCCTTTTTCCGTTAATTAATAAATAATCGAAATTTGCGAGCAATGTCAACTACTGAATTTTTCAAAATGCATACCCCCTCACACTGTTTATGTGATCCTTATCGCTATACCATTCGACTCGTGCGTTATTACAATTGAGCCTTGACACTACCGACAAATGTATACTATTACACGAGAGCCAACGAAGGACAGGGTTGAGAAGGATATAAAGCATGCTACTGGTTATGAATAACAGCCCCTCATGTGTTTCATTTATTTTATTTCTTCATCCACTCTAAACTTATTCCTCAACATGAGAAATGACATAAACTCAACTAAACGCTGATATTCTTCAATGAAACTTACGGAGATAAAGTTGGTCTGGAGATAATAAACAATTTACTGGGTGATCCTCACATTCCAAAATCAGAACAAGGGATCGGGCCACAATAGTTCCACATAACTAACAATAATTCATTTAAAAAATTGACATTCAAGAAACTGAAAATTTTGAGTCTTTCACCACTTTTAGTGCAATGCTGGAGCATCGAAATATCGTCCTAATTCCATTAACTTGAGATATGTTTAGTGTGCGTATACCCATTGAATTAATGAATATCACGTTTTATCGTAATAAATCTTAGAAATGTAATCGAAGCTGTTTGTGCCGGCGTGGTGGCCGGGCAGCCACTGGAGTGAGCCCACAACCAGGCGCCCCCGTATACTCTAGGTCTGCAATCCCCCGCTGAGGGGTGTTGGTGGGGCCAGAGGGGGGATGGTTTTGAAGGTAGTAGAGGTGGTGGTGGATCGATAAGAGGGAGGATAGTACCGTTGAATGCTGAACTGAGACAAAAAACCGAGGGTCGAATCAGAACGGAAGTGAGATGCTACATTTCTGCGATTTTAAGGGAGAAGAGAAGGTGAGATTGCTAACTGCGGGTCCAACCAATAATCAATGAACTATTCGTGGTTTTTATTCCACTTGAATAGTGGTATGAATCAGAGTTTGGTTGAGATGATTTCGAGGGGTTGCGGAGGGGCCACTGAATATTCAATCGCTGAGCCCTTTTGTTTCTTCATGGTTCATTTGGGGTTAATGAACTAGCACTGCGCAGGACGGTTACGTGTTGGTCTTGAAGTTTTATCACATTCTGAAAAAAAGTTCAGGGGAACAGTATAATTTTTAGGGTCTGAGGGGTCTGCGAAACAGTCATTGTGGAACTTCTAAATAAATGAGAAATGAGGGGGGTATATGGTAGCCTCTGAATTATACGGACGGAATTATTTGAATGGAGGTGACTCACAAATGAACAGATATCGGTAAAATCATAATGTAGAACTATAGTTACTTCTCCACATTATAAGGATGATAAGCATTTCATGCCTCAATGAAGATTAAAAACATCAGTTATTTGTGTAATTTGCTCGTAAAATATTTCTAAAGTAAGGATTACTCCCGATTTCTGCACATGAGCCGTCAGATTTTTCTGAGTGGGGCTGTGAGTCCTCGAGGAACCGAAGTTACGGAGTAGTTAACGCTCTCGCTAGAAGCGCTAGTGGTACAACAGGAGTAATATATCAGTAGCGAAGCGGTAAACCGGGTTAAGTCGATTTGGACTTTTGGCCATTTTTTGACAAATTTCTCGGAATCTAAGAGAGATAGCAAAATTTTGCTCATTACTTTTTTTATAACCCTCAGTTGGCTCTACAAAAAAGGTCATGACAAAAATTTTTCTATCTCTTTTAGATTCCCAGATATTCGTCAAAAACTGGCCAATAGTCCAAATCGACTTAACCCCGTTTATCGCTTCGCTACTGATATATTGCTTTCAGTCACTTACCATTGCCCACAAACTTCTTTAAATGAAAATAATATTGTGAAAGTATAATGATTTTGAGGGAGAGAACGTGAGATTACTAACTGCCGGTCTAACCAATAATCAATGACGCATTTTTTCTACTTCAATCCTAGTATAAATCAGAGTTTGATTGGGCTGATTTAGAGTGGCCGTGGAGGGGCCATTGAATATGCAATCGCTGAGCCCTTTTGTTCCTTCATGGTTCATTTGGGGTTAATGAACTAGCACTGCGCAGAGCGGTTCGCTGTCGTGTTGAACATAAAGTTTTATCGGACGCTGAGAAAAGTTCCGGAGAACAATCTAATTTTAAACGTCTGAGGGATCTATGAAACATTCATCGTCGAATTAATAAAAAATGAGAAATTTGACTAGGATTTTCGGGTGTTTAGATTACTTCTGAATTATACAGTTACATTCCTTCTGCTGTCGCCATCCCTCAGGGAGGAATTCATTAATCCCTACTATTTATATTGAATGAAGGAGACTTACTCAGAAATGCAGTCTCCAATTTCGTCTGAATGGAGTTGTGGATCCTCACAGATCCGACGTTACAGAGTACAGGACGCTCTCGCTAGAGGCGCTGATGGGACGACAACAGTCGCTTGCCATTGCCCACAAAGACGACTTCTACCGAAAATAATAATTGTTCAGGTAATTACGGTATCCTTCAGATACTGTTAAAGGATGAACTTGCTCGTAATATTTCTTAGAAAAACTGAAAAGTGATTGACGATAGAGATAATTAATTGCCACATCCTTCTCCAATATCACCCTGCTGGGTTTGTTTGGCCACACTGGTGATTACATGAAGACGGGTCGTATATAATATCATTGGGTACATGAGAAGCTACCAAAGGGAAATGAAATTCAATAACAGGGGGATGTTACACTTTGGAGTAGAACGTTATTGGAGAAATTAGCCCAGTGGTTGACTAAACTTCAGCCTCATAACGCTACCATTGACGATACAACCAAGAGGTGGTTTGTACGCTGTCAGGATTAAAAATGCGGGTGTAATAGATAGTGGTTCTGGAATTCTAGATGCATTTGAGGGACTTGTCTTTAATTTTTTTAAAATTGATTCAACGATGCACGAAATTGTATTCAGTAATCATAAATATTTTACTCGGAATACCCGTAGAGCTTCGAAATTTTCAGGGACATGACTCGACAGGATTTTTCGTGCAATCGATTATCGCTTTTACATCTTTCCATCTCGCAGACATCACTAAAAACACGTACTGATTCAAGTCGACGTTGGCTTGATTTTAGTCGAGTGACTCAGACTTCATCAATTCAAATTATTGACCTGATATAAGAAGAAAAGTGGATTATTTCAAGAAGAAAGGTGTCAAGCCGAAATCGACTTGAGTCAAGTCGAAAAATCGACTTCAGAGGTTTTCGATTTGATTCAAGTCAATTTTTCCGCTTGATTCATGTCGTTTTTTTGTCTTGATTCAGGATTCTAAGAAGTTATACATAGGGCGGCGGAAAAATCGACGTGAATCAAACCGCAAAATCGACTTGAATCAAGCTGAAATTCGACTTAAATCAAACAAATTCGAATCTGAATTGAATCAAATCGAAGTCGACTTGCTTCAAGTCGAAAAGCAACTTGAATCAGACCGATGTGCCGGTTTGCATTTCTCCGAGTCAAACTTGATTCATGCCGACGATCCGACATTAAATAAGTGAATTCTCGGCATAATTCAATCCGACTTGATTCAGACCAAATTTCGGTTGTAAAATTAATGATTTAAAAAAAGTAGAATCGGCAGGATGACACAAATATGAATGAATTATGAAAATAATATTCATAAATATTTTTATAATAAGTCACAATCGCTTATGCATTAATTAACATCATGAGGATCTGCAGACATGGCAAATATGTTGGCAAATTTTGCATTGCGCAGACAACTGCGAAACTGTGGAACAAAGAGAGAAGGCGGAAGACGTACTCGAGCACCCACCACGTTGGTATGACGTCATTACAGGCTCCCGTGACGTCACTATCGCTCGATACAACCCCGAGTACTGCGACTGGTGTGCCAATGGTGGATGGGAACGAGACGGGACGGATGGAAATTTTTTTTACCGAAATTTGCAGAAAAAAACAGCAGACTCATTTATCGGGTTCGCAGGCAATTTTGATTTTCACTAACGATTGATCATATGGAAAATTCTAATAAATTTGTTGAATAAAGTTAAACTCAGATTTTTCAATTCTATAAATGTTGTGAGTTCTAATAGAGAGTAATTTTCTTTTGATGCAACAATGAATTTCACTGTGACACTTATCATTATCTTTATTTCCCTCGAAAGAGTCTATTTCGAGGTTTACCATTGGCTTTAACTGAACTCAGAAATTGTGTACATCGTAGAAGTGATAGATACTCCAATGTGTCAACGGAAAATGAAAATTCCTGAATGAAATGCTGAATTATGAAAGCAATTGCAATCTTGTAATGGCATTTCCCCGTCCGAGTCGGATGGGGATTGGAATCGAGGTGATATAATTCGAGGGGATGGCGATGGGTCCTGATAATGGGAGAGAAGATGCATAGATTTATTATCCTCATCTCAATAGGTTCTGTTAACAGTGCATTGAATATCAGCTTCGAGCTCATGAATATTAGAGAGTTCAAGGCTGAAAATATTCAAAATTCTGGAGAGAACTTGAAAGGTCATGGGCTTCATCGGTATGGAAGTTGTGAATATTTTCTGCCACACCCGTTACCCAAAGAAAAAGAATGTTTTAATTAGTTATTGACTTGATGTTAATTGTTTTCGGAGATATTTCAAATGCGACTGGACTTCATGCCTCCGGATTTCAGACTTGCTGAGAGTAAAAGTTATTTGAATAGAAAATGTCTCCAGTCACAAATTGTCACCTACTTGATTCAAGTAAAATCAACGGGCTGATTTGTGGCGAAAAATCTGTTTGAAATAGTGGATAGCGACTTGATCCTAGTTGAATTGAACTGAATTACAAAATCTACTTGAGTCAAGTCGAACCTAATCTGAATCAAATCGCGGAATTTATTTAGATTAAGTCGGATCCGATTTGACTCAAGTCGCAGAATCTGCTTGAATCGAACATGATTCGACTTAAATCGGGTCGCAAAATGTATTTGAATCAAGTAGGTCCCGACCTCAATCAAATTACAAAGTCTACTTGAATCGAGTCATAGAATCTACTTGCATTAAGTCGTCGATTAAGTTGGACCCGACCTGACCCGAGTCGCAGAAAGTATTTGAAATGAACGGGATCGAACTCAAATCAGGTCGCAAAATGTGCTTGAGTCAAGTCGTACACGACTTTAATTCAGCCGCAAAATCTGTTTGAATCATGTAGACGAACTTACTTGCATCGAATTATAGAATCTATTTAAATCAAGTCGGTCCCGACCTGACTCAAGTCATTTTGACGGTTCATATATTTTTTAGGGAGACTCCAAAGCTGTGATTACGGCGTGGAATAAGTCGGATTCCTCGACTTGATTCAGCATGTTTTTTTTGGTAGTGACTCGGCTCAAATTTTATTCTCAATATCTTTCGCGTTATCTTTGACTCATTATCTTTTACCCTTCATACTGGACTCGTTACATTTTCCAATTTTTCGGCGCATTTTTTCTGGAGTATGGACGTTGCACCCACTATCCAGGATTCGCCAACCCTGAAGGTTCACGATCTCAAAGAAAGCAATGAAGATGTATTAGCGGAAAACATAATGGATAGTGAGTGATGAAAAGAGAATGAGCTGTTTTTGTATGTATTTTTATGCCTCGCGTGTCGAATATCTGTGTGGAGAAGCGTGAGACACTATACCTTTGTGGATTTTCTCCTTTTCTTCCTTACCTTACACAAAGTGATCAACGGTAACTTTTAGTCTGTTCCTATGAACATTTGCATGTGTTCGGAGCAATTTTCCTATTCAAAAATGTAGAGCAATTTTACTTTCCAACAGTATCCCTTTCTGCAGGGGTTTATACGTCTGCATTGCGACAATATGGAGTACATTTATCGCCGTTGGTTTTTCATCCGTTTTAATGGTTCATATCTACTGGAGGAAATCCTGAAAATCAATCATGTCCGATTTCCGATGAAGTCTTTCGTTATTTCCTGACAGAGGATGGGTTCCGCTGAATAAAACCGTCTCAATATTCACGCCATTATTGATGAGATTAAGTAGTGGACGTCGAAAGTTTCTCCGAGTCAAACTTGATTCATGATTCATATCTATCTTTTGTGGTAAAGGGAAGAGAGCCCAGTCCGGATTATGGGCAAGTTTTTGAGTCACAAAAAAAAATTCTTGATTCAAGTAGCTCGCGACCTGATTCACGAATTCTTTTTACTTGATTCAAGTTAGAGAATAAGAATATTTGGCACATAATATAAATAAAAATTATGATGTCGAGGGGTTTTTAGACGTTTATTTAGAACAATTTCCCCTGAGATTTTTTTATTGTTGTTGTGGTAGTGTAAGATGTTTTCTGAATGTTGTCAATTTTGTTTATGACTCTGCGACTCGACAGGACGACAATGATTATTAATGAAGATTCATTTATTATTGGGGCAAGAGATTAATTCGAATTATTTGGGGGAATTGGCTCGGAAATGTTGACCATTAATTAATTTATTTATTGCAGTAACGTAATTTATTTATTATTGATCTATTGAAAAAGTTGAATTCTCTTCTGGCGTGTTTTCGAAGGTTAAAGGATGTAATAAATAAAATTCATGTTAGCAATGTGTGTTTGTGTAATTGTTTTTTACATTCGTAAGGAAAAATAATTCCGGGGAATTTTTTTCGGGGGGGAAAAAATGCGAGAACCTTTTTCATTGTAATTGATGTTTTTTCCAGAACAATCCATTCACAACATCGATATTTTTAAAAACATCGGCCATTTCTAGCTATAATATAAATTTATGTTTTCTTCAATGCCTTCTCGTTGCCCTTGAGCGCTATCTGTCGGTGACGCGGGGACTTGAAACGTTTTATCCATCGATAATAACAATGCTCAAGCACTGATAAGTGAATTGTTCATATATCCCCCAAAACTTGTCTATTGAGAAGCAAAAAAATTTTTGGAATACAATTTTCAATGTTTCAGATTTGTTGCGTAATCTTGACTTTTATGTCTCGCATTTATCATTAGCTACTAATACAGATTTCACTCGGACAATATCGCCCAATAGGAAATCCCCTCCTGCCATGACACGATATCTGATTGGTTGATAGCGCCATTCCGGATGTAAAACGCTATTCCATTGGCCAATTTAACGGACCAATGCCAGTCAACTTTTAGCATCCACTCCGTGTAGCGTCGTATGAGCCCAGGAACAAGCACGCTCAATAACAAGGCGCTAGTTGTCTGTCAAACCAGTGATACGTGCTGCAACATAGGGAGTGTGTGACAGCCATTCTTAAGAAAAAGAATTATAAAAAATATATTTTTCGGTTGATATTATCAGTTAGGAACATTAAACGATAATAAAGTGTGCGTGTGTGTGAATTACCCGGAGATAATTGACTAGTGATTCTAACAATATCTTTGTGCAAAATCTCGAAGCAATTTTTTTCTCCCATTTTTTTTTCCTATTGCAAAAGGCGTGAAAATCGTTGAAAAAAGAAGTAGCGTAATAATAAAAAGAAAATTTTAGCGAGAAAAAAAGCAAAAAATTCAATCGTTTTCTAGAGTTTCGAGAGCGAAAAAACTAAGCAATAATGACGGACAAGAAAGGTAACTATGATGACGCGAATCGGAATAATTGATGTCGGAAGAAAAATTTAGAAAACAAATTCTAATGTAAAAATTATTTATGAGAGTTTATTGATATAGAGAGTCAATTATCCATTGGACTTTTGAATGGTTAAATTTTTACTATGAATTAAGACATTTTGGTGGAAGGAAGGAAGTTATTTTGTCGAGTCTCGCGACCGTCAATTGTCACTTGGCTACACGATATATTCAAAGGACTTGTTTTACAGATTTTTTTTTTCATTTCGACGTTGAAGTGCTTCCTGCAATTTTGGATATTGCAATCGTCGCATGTTTTTTTCAATGCGATATGTCAGTCCAAAAATTTAATGGAAAAGTAATAAGTTGGGACGTTTTGTAGATATTTTGACCATTTTCGTCTACCGGAGTAGAAGAATCCGAATTATCTGGCCCAGTGACAGATTAATCAATACCGCCTTCCGTGGGGAAAATACAAAATGGCCTCCCTCAAGTTTAGGTTTCCAGTCCGTTTTTATCGTTTTTCTTCTTGAAAAAAGTTTTCGGAGAATCTGTTTTTCATTTTATCACTGCAATGCATCTAAAATTAATGAAAAATAATTTTTCATTGAAAATTTTAGTCATTCGACGGAAAATGTATATTTAACACGAATTTGATTGTCTCAATGATATTTCATTGATAATTGAAGCAATTATTTTTGACAATTTGCTATACTCGAGAATTTCCGGAGGCCATTTGTTAATTATTCAATGAAATAACCTTACAATTTGAGGAAAAAACTTGTAACTCGAATTCCCGAAGAAAATTAGATATTAAGTCCAGACGTTCTGCATGCATTCAAGAAATTAGACTCGAAAATTTGCCGATAAACAAGACAAATAAATTTATAGGAATACATCGTCTAGGATTAAGGTGTAATTTTTAGCCGTTAAGAAGAAGTGGGTGCCATGAAAAAATATGGATAAGCTAGTTTTTCCCATACGAAAAGAAAAAACGGTCGAAGAGTTCATTGAAAGACTAAAAATGAAAATAGTTGAAAAAGAATAACAATGGAGCAAAATAATATAAGCACACCTACAGTTGCGGCTGTCGATATGTTTCCAGCGGACCATTACAAAGACGATGATTTGATCCAAGTCGATAGGTGGAGCCTCGGAGACCGGCGATTGCGCAGACCAAGCCACGTATCTAACCTCACCTTCTTCTATATATTACCTTAACTCACTACGTGTTCATAAAAAAATATATTTAAAAAAACAATATACGATATACGATGATAGAAAAAAATATATCGACAACAGCCGACTCTCCGTCATTCAAAAAGTTTCCACCGAAATAGCAATTCGATCGTTTTGGAAATTATTTCATACTCACACTTCTTTCTGATGTTTGCAGAGAATAGTAAATGGAGAAATATTGATAATCACTTTTTGAATTGGAGACGTCGACTGATATATGTCCAAATCAATATAAACGTAAGATATTGATATGGGTGTAATAAAAACAATTTCGTACTGAAAACGTGGTATTGGCTGACTGCTTAATTTGTTTGATTTATTTTTCATTAAATTTTTTTTACTTCATTCTCTTATTACGTTTTTTTTCTTGTAGTTGTCATGTTTTTTCTTTCGGGTAGATGAAGATTTTCAAACGTGTGGGATATTATGACCGGATTTAAGAAACCTCGCGAGTAAAAAAACTACTGAAATGGGGCGGACATTTTCCCCCAGGAATTTACAGCCTAAAGGGGATGAATAGAGCATGGATTGGAAAATTTGTTATTTTCCTAATTGATAAACCGAGCTGGAGGTCATTTGAGTGCGATTGATAATTTCAAGAAATGTTCTAAAATACAAAGTGGTGTGGGCGCCATCTTGTTTGAATACTCCCTTCCACTACCGCGAGAGGCTTCTAAGATGGCGGCGCCTCACCTCGCGTTTTCAAACACTTCTTAAAATTATTCATCTTCTTCAAATCACTCTGAACATAATTCATCCGGTTTCTAGGGATGGAATAAATTTTTTAAAGCATCTTTCGGATTTTTCCATCGCCCTTTGGTTGACTTCAGTAGTTTTCTTCAGTCTCGAGGCCTCTTAAAATTTGTTTGCAAATGATACGAGATTTTAAGATTGAAAAAAAAACATGACAATTAAAGAGGTGGACACGAATGCTGTATCTAAGCTCGGCGTATATAATATTTCTACTCGATAGTAAATCGGTAGCTCACTTTTAACAATAGTGCATGCTGCTTCTGAAAGGTCACAAGTTTTATGCGCCAATTTGAGAATATGTCGGTTAAAGTCTGTAAATTTTCAATTTGAATCGTGACATTGAACATCGGAATTTCAACTTTTCATTGGAACTATATTGAAACTTGGGGCCAACGTTTTGCATGATTTTGTAGGTGCTTCTGAAACTTTCAAAGCGTCTGAAATCTAAGACGAGTTGCGTAGGGAATGTGACTTTATTTTTGACTTTTTTTTTAGACAAAATAATTAAAGTATTTACAGAATAGTTATGATTGCTTTCTAGACAAGAAAGAGTATTTCGTCAATAGATACTGGATGAGTCGCGGGTGACGTAATGTCATGTCATTGAAGATTAATTGTAAGACTATTTTGAGATATGAAAAATATTCGAAATGAGTAAAATGTCTGAAAAAATTGGAAAAACAAAAATAAATTGTGACGTTACGTTTACTTGTCGCCTGATTTTTGTACTTCAAAATTACGTTGCCGAATATTATTAATAGTGGTTCTGTTTTGAACTTCAGTTTCTGCATGTTTAAAGTTAATTTAGTGGGTGATGATTTCTCGTAAAATTTTCTAACGTTCATAAATAACTGCAAATGATGAAAATTAAGAAGAGAGATTGATTTATGGACGAAAGAAAATTTTTGTTTTTGTAGCCGCATGCCCTTCAACTCTGGATCTGTGTCTATTGAATTTTATTTCACAAATATTATTCTTCAGGCAAGATCTTCCTTCAAAAACTCGGAGCAAGTAATTGAACGTGAAAATTTAAAATATTCTGTTACGAGGATTCTCATTTTATTGTAATCGAGATTTTTCAAGGAAGATCGTTGAATTATTTCTCGTTTGCATGATAAATTCATAAGTCCGTTGGAGATTTTCTTTCTCATGAGAAATCTACGTCTTCCCAAAGTTGATCTCACAAAAGTTAGTTGACGAGCAAAAGTGCTGTTGAATTATTGAAGAAGTTTTCTGCAATAAAAATAAAAATCAGTCCTTGATTGACGGGAATAAGAAAACGTAGTGATTTCTCGGCATGACGAAGTGCATGTGCATGCAAGCAAAAAATTTCAACATGTATACTGTTAATAGTGAGCTTAAAGGAAGAATAGCGTTTCTTACAAAAAAAATATTTAAAAACTTTGGGTTCAGGGTTGTTTCAAGCCAGAATTTTTTCAAAAATCTTCTCAAAACTTCGCCCATATCAAGTCAATTGAATGAATATTTCTTACACAAGAGAAGTTGAATTTGGAAAAAGTTGAGAAAATTCTGCCGTTCCACCTAAAGCATTTCGATTAAAATTTCCCGTCTAGAAAAAGGGCACAATTTTCTAATTTACGGACGAGTAATTTCTTGGCTCTCTAATTCTCAAAATTTATTTTAACTTTTTCTTTGATTTATTTTTATTGAAAAAAGAAAATACAGTAACAATACAAAAAACGTGAATTATCATGAGAGAACTATCGGGTAAACCCCAATCTCAATGATGTAGCGATATTTCCAAGTATAAATATCAATGACAATTTCTCAGAGAAATCGAAAGCAGGAAATTTTACAATTGTCCAGTGGTACCTATAGCATTAATATTATAATCAATTGTTATTGGATTCGATGATTGTTTGCACCGTGGCACTGACACATGAATTTATCCACTGAGTGTTGTTCATGACAATTTTTAAAATCTCAAAATTTTTAAAATCTTTGAAATGAAATTCTTTATCTCGAAAACTGGATATAAATTTTCACCGTAATTCATTGATGGCATGAGGCTATTTCACTTGTGATTTGAAAATTTGGAACGACACTCATCTATCATGGACAATTTGGTGTGGGCTGACTTCTATGTTAGAGTACAACATGTCCATCCACTGCTGCCGAGCTTAAGCAACTAAACTACCCAAAAATATATCTCACAATTTTTCATGAGAAAAATTTACATGCGAAAAGCATTTTTTCCTTGCAATTCAGTCTGATCTCTACATGAAAAATTTCCCGACAAGACATTAGGCTTTTTTCACGGGAATAGGACTGTCCTCACTCTCAAATTTGTCAATGTTTTTGCGGAGTTTTGGTGCTACGGCAGGGCGTGTAATTTAGACTTACTAAAAGAGAGATTATGTAATGAAGTTGGGCGATTTGGAGTAAATTTAATCACCAATTGTTGAATTTTTCAAGTTAGAATCAATGAATGTTATTACAACACTTTGCTTCCAATGATAATTGTCAATACTCTGATCACTCAATTTGATTATTAATAATATACTATGCAATTTACTAAAAAGGAATATTACAATTTTTTTGAATAATGTTTGAGACCTTTATTTATTGGATATTTTGCAGAAATTTGTGGTTTGCTGAATCTTGTCACGATACTTTTTGAATGTGTGGAACTTGATATATATACATATATATATATATACATAAAGAAAAAATATATATTATCATTGTTACCACTCGTATGCTCATTGTATGAATTACACATTTTTTTTCTTCACCACTCGATTAAACCACGAATTCAAAATCCGTTCGAATGGTTCAACATTTTCTGAAAAAAAAATCTAGAAATAGTACTCTTTTGAAAGAGAAAAATGACAGTTGCAACTTTTTTGAGTAATTCTATGCGATTAATTCTCATTGGTGTTAGGAGTTGCGCTGTTAGAAAAAAAATGAAATTTCATGGACAGTGGAATGCAATTTAGAGGAAAAAAAATCAGGAAATTTCAGGTTTCACTGAAAATTCAGTAAAATTCTAGCTTTTTAAACAGCATAAAGACGAGAATTCATTAACCCTAGATTGGTTACTATATGAGAGAAACCCGCCGCGCGTCTTTTTTCTTTAATTACAATGGACTGGCTAATCGAAAAAATTTAAAAAAATTTGACTTTGTCGACTAAAGTGTCTAAACAATCATAGTAGTTTTTAGAACAACATATTTCCCGAAATTCCTAAAGAAAACGAATTATTTCGAACAGATGAGTTATTTTTTCCCATGTTGAATGAAATTGCCCATCACGCGACGTTGCCGGAAACTCGCTAAACGCGGCCGGGCAGTATAGAGTGAATTCGGCAACGTTAGAATCTATATAATACGGCGGGGAATCCCCGCGGAGGTGACCAGAGGCTCAGGGTCGCGTTTGGCGACCAGACTGGGGTTAATTTATTGAATTTTCAGTGAAATCTGGAATTTCATGACTTTTTTCCCCCTAAGCCGCTTTCAGTGCTACTGTCCTGAAAATTGAAGAATATATTGACCGGAATTTTCTGGTTTTCTACTCATTTTCTGGGAAAAATGGAACTGAAATTGACAGTTCTCTTTGATTTTTCCACGAAATTCTGAATTTTCAACGACGAAATTCTCTGAAATTTCAGTGGTAATTAAACTCGATAAAAATTTCCAAAAAGTGTACCGAAAATTTCAGACAAGAATTTGTACAGCTTTTTGCTTTTGGTCTTTGAAGCTAGAATATTTTACGTAATTAGCTATTTACAGTTCATTGTGTAACGCTATTTGCTATGAATCACTCCTCAATTTGCATTCAAATTTTTCAGATTTAAAATTCAAATGACAGTGCCATAAAATAATTTTTTATGAGTATTCATCATAAAAATGACATTTCTTGAAAAATGTCTTGCCTGTTTTACCTAATGTTACATAAACGAAAAATTTGATTCTAATTTTGAAACTAATCGCCCAATTTTCAACTGTCGCGTTTCCAAAATCTGTCTCTGAAGCATTATTTTCTGCACATTAGCAACTTTTTAGAACTCTAATACACACTTTTCCAACCAGAATGAGTAACAAAAATCGTGGTAAACTCGAGTGGTGGTAAAAAAGGGCGACGTTACCGTTCTTTCGATCGTTCCAATTGTTTTACCTGATTATTTTTTCTTTCCCCCACACTAAATTAGTGACTAACATTGTTTGAGCTTTGATTAGTATTTTCTTTCTTGGATAAAAACGGTGTATGTCATGTGTAAGATATACTTGGGTGTGGGAGTGCCACTGTTATAATCGTGTATTTTTTATCGTCATATGACACTCCGACAGCTAGACTAGTCACTACAATTTTTTTCTCAATCACTCACACTGAATTTTCTCAATCGGGGAAGGTATGACGATAAAAAAGAGTCGATTGATGGATGAGGCAGATCCTTTTGTTTCACCAAAAATCATAGAAAATGACATGAGTGATTTCTGGAAACAAGGAAATGCTTCGTCAACTCTCCTCGGGCTATGGTACATGTACCTTTGGCTTAGATTCCAAGGAAAATTCGATTCGAGAATTTCCGCTTAAACGAGAAAGAATAACAGTTTTATTGGAATTGTGTTGCAGCATATCCCGTGGCTCCGCATCCACCGACTGGATTCGTACCAGCGCAAGCGCAGCCCACAGCTTATGGAGGTAATTCGCTGATAATTTTCTACTTTAGAATGATGCAGGAAGTGAGTTGTAATTTTCAACAAGTTTTTTATACGAGCAGAAATGCTATCATTCTATGAAGAGTAACTGTGAAGTATCGAGGTATCAATTGTGATTTTCGTTTTTTAAGGAAATACAGGATAACTTGACGCTAATGAATAGATAAAAATAAAATCCTATAGGAAATCCTATGGAGAATTCGAACATTTCGTATAGGAGTTGACAGATAGCATTTCATAAATTACCACTCGAAAACGATTTTTTCGACTGTAACTCGAGAGCGAATGGTGCAATCGTCGTTATTTTTCAACTCGCACAATTGAATCGATTTCAACGATTATTTTGCGAGTTATCGTCGAAAAAACGAATCTGGAATAATGAAAAAATTTCGAAATCGATGTAACAAATGAAGTTCTCAGTCGCGGAAAAATATACTCGAATTGAGTATAAAATATGGTTGAATCGAGTATATTTTATGCTCAATTGGGGATGGGTATTTCAATTCGAAGATGATTCTTTTGTATCACGCCGGGTCATAGCAAGCCCTCTTGAGTGTGATATAAGGGTCAGGCACTAAGTGTCAGAATATAAGGGTCAAAAAGGAGAGGTTAAAAAATGAGGGTCGGAATATTAAGGTCAAAACATTATTTTTTGATCCTAATATTCTGACCCTCATTCCTTCACCTTTACATTCGGGCCCTCAATACTCTACTCTTGACTCTCATATTCTGACCCTCATTTTTTAACCTCCACTTTTTGACCCTCATATTCTCACACTTAGTCTCTGACCCTTATATTACACTTGAGAGCGCTTGGTACAAACGACAACAAAAACGTAAACGTAAACGAATCATAAACTATCTTGAAAATCAGAGTGGAACACCTACCTTATGTTCTTGTCACCTACACAAGTACATGATTAGTCTCCACTCGAGTTTCGTACTCTTCAATGGATCATGAATGTTTAGTTGCAGGAGCTGGTCCATACGGGGTATTCCCAAATCAGCCACAGCTTTACGCTACGCAAGGGCCACCGCCACCCACATATGATCAAACGCTGACGCATCCAATGGTAAACATACTCATTTATGCATTACTCCGTTCAACGAAATTGTTAAAAATTTTAGGAGAAATTGTATTAATACATTAAATTTAATTTAAGCTCCAGGTGTACTATTTTCCAAAGGTTATCTGGATTTTTTTTATCTTTCGTAATCCAAAATTGTCAATTGAGTGGTACATCATGTAGAAATTTCCAAAAATTATGATAGAATGATAAAAAAAATAGAAAAAATTCCGAACTTTTTCAAAGAGCGTTTTTAATTGAGATTCAGAATGAGTTGAAAAAAGTGGAAATTACAAATATCTGATTCGCTGTGGTAAATTATCTATTAGCTGTCATTTTTCGTGGTGGATAACAAAACACTAACTCCTCATGGGAAGTGACAGCTAGGTATCTCAATTTTCAAAACAGTGGTATGTAGTCATCTGCCATTTTTATGTGATAACAGTGTGATTAAAAAATTCTCCAAAATATTACAACTTTTTTCAAAGAGCCTTTTCCGTAATAAATGTCTCTGTGCAGTGTGGGAAAAGATTGACGAAATCAGTCTTCCCCCTGCATGATATTGGGTGACAGGCCGCCATTTGTCACCGTAAATCAGATACATTTTTCAATCTCTTGTTATTCAACTTATTCTGAATATAAATTAAAAATGCTCTTTGAAAAAATTAAGAATTTTTTCTACTTTTTTTTATTATTCATTCATAATTTTTCAAAACTTCTGCACGATGCAGGACTTAATTGACAATTTCAGATGACGAACGATGAAAAAAAAACATCGACTTAACGTTCGAAAGATAGTACACCCGGGGCTTAAATGATAAATTAAAATCAATAATTAAATTGAATTATTAATAAATAAATTTCGGGTTGTATCAATTTATTTGCTCACTCAGATGTACCAGCCAATGTATGGGCAGGGATACCCAGGAGGATATTTAACCGGCTATCCAACAGCTTATGGACCACTGCAGTACTATCCGCAACTGGCAGCAGCAGCTTATTATCCGACCGCTGCCATGCAGCCTGCACCAGTCAGGCCAACTATGCTGGTACCTGTAAGTTACCCTGGTCTCGTGATAGAATTGTTCAGCGAATGGGGAACTTATCGTTATTTAGATTCTTCAATCTCAATCTCCTCTTCATTTAATTTATTAATTAATTTCCTCTCGAAGCCTCTCAAGCACACGAGGTATTCATCCTAAATGTGTCAACTGCTGATCCTCATTCTCTTGGAAATTGATCAATGAGTGAAAAATTACGGTGCCGTCACTTAAATTTTCTCAGTCGATTCCGTAATCGGCGAGCGAATTGTGAATTCCGTAATTTTTGCCTCTCCGTGTGCATGCACGAAAAAATTTAATAGGAAAACCTATCGAATTCGTTAGAACATTCTATTGAATTTCTATTGAACTTTCTATTAATTTTTGGCTGATTCTATTGACATGTTCAATAGAAAAAATTCAATAGAAAAAGTTAACAGAATTCGATTTTTCTATATAACTTATTTTCTTCACATATTTTCAATAGAATTTGCTCGACTCAAATTTCCCAAGTTTTTTTCATTCTATTTTTCTTTTCTTCTCATCAAGAAAACAACCGAAAAAACTTGGAAAATTTGAGCCGAGGAAATTCTATAGAAAATATCTCAATAGAATAAGTTATATAGAAAAATTGAATTCTATTGACTTTTTCTACTGAATATTTTCTATTGGGAACATTTCAATAGAAATTCAACAGAATTTTCTAACGAATTCGATAGGTTTTTCTATTAAATTTTTTCGTCCGCGTGAGGAGGGATGCTATATGCTATCCTTTCGCCTTCGATGTTTCTATATGGAACAACCAATGAAGCTAACCTAACCATGTGAAGACTTGAATTTATTTCCATAAATGCTGAATATCAATGCACAATCCTCAATTTTAGAATGGCTTTGATGGCGGCCGTTTCGATGGACTTTCGCAACAAGTTTTACCACCACCACCACCACCTGGTGTTGCGAATGCTGCACAGTTGGCTGCTATGGCTGGCCACAGTGTTGCCTTGTCACAAAAAAAGGGATCGTTCCTCGGTGGTGCTGCAGAGGGGGGCTATACTTTCTGGTAAAGAAAAAGACAGCCGAGAAAATTTTTTGGGTAATGATGAGCTATTCTGGAGGCAGGAAATATAACAGTTTGAAGCGACAAATTGAAATATGAAATGTAGACTAAAACAATTACCCGAAACGCTATATCTTCGATGGTCCTTTGATTCGAATTTCGATCCAACAATTTTTTTAGGCGAAATACTTCAAAATTTGTATTAGTAAATGAGTGCGGAAAAATTGAACGTATTTTCGAAATTTTTTGAACGTAAAATTTGCTCACACCGGAGACTTTCTCAACGAAAGGAATTCTATACATCGAAAATAATATCAACTTTGTGAAATTTAATTGAAGTCATTATTCATTTGTGACTGCTTCCTTGAGGTTTTCTTCATCGAATTTGAAATCATTAGCTGTTCAGTATTATTACAATAAAATGGACAATCGCGGTAATTGTATCAATATATATCAAAACCCAAAAATTGTTGGGTCTTTCGAAATTCGAGGATCAGTATTTCTTATTGAAGCGAAAAACAAAATTGACGGAATGATGGTGAGAGAATTGAGTGAAATGAATTAAAAAACAGTTCGGATGAAAAAAAAAATGGAGGGCTGTTCGCAATATTTTTTTGACGATTTGCCCCGCAATCCTGGGACCGAATGGTGTGTGTGAGTGAGGAAAGAATAGAGAGCGAGAGAGTGTGAGAATTAAATCATTGATGACGTTGTGCATGACATTGAACAAAAAATCACCAACATGAGAGAGGATAGATCAGAAAAATTGAGAAAAAACGAAAAAAAGATATCGAAAAAATCGAGATTGCGGTGATGCTCAGAGTTGGAAAAAACGAGTGGGAAAGTGTATTATCTGTTATATAAATCCACCACAGAGACGAGAAGATAAGATTGGTGGCCGCTGATTATCGAAATTAAAATGAATCTCAGAGGGATTCTTCTAAAGGGGACGAGGGAAAATTTAAGATTCACTTTGGTGCCAAAATAAATTTTAAATCAATCCACTCCCACTCGTTTATTTGCGGCTCGAAAAATTGAACTTCTTTCGTTGATTATGAGAAAACTGAGGTTTTTTATTTGTTGCAATTCTGTGATTGAGTTCCATAAGGAGATAAGTTGATCGGATTTTCACTCGATGAGATGAAAAATCTTGATGATTCTTGTTTTAGTTGTTGTTTCCCTTTTTTTCTCCTTCAGGAAGAGAAATATCTGCATTGAACATAGTCCAATTTTTCTAGAAAATATTCAGAATCTTGAATGAAAATCGTACTTACAACTCGATTATGCTGATTCTGCTTTAATACCGTACATCATGTACTCACAAGCCGAGGGAGATTTCTGAGGTGCTATCGTAACTGAATTTTCCAACAGATGGAAAAACCTTCATTTCTAGAATTTTTTTCTGTTTCCAATTCTCTGAGATCTCGTCTGTCCAACTCGAATTTTTAATACCCCGCTATGATGATATTGACTGTAGTTAATCTAATTTTCCAATGAGTTCCACCACATGAATTCATGAATTCGTTGAAGAAATCTGCCTGTCCATAAATTGTAACTTATCTCCTTACTCGACTTGACTCGAGAATTTGATTTCTCATCGTTTTCTCAATGAATCATTAGCTAGGAAGATTCAAGTGTTGATTTAGCTTTCGAAAATCATATTTTTCAGGGAAATCAAATGTTCCAAAATAGAACGAAAACTAGTAAAGTACAAATGTGTCTGGAAATTTTGGAAAATTTGATTTTTTTTCTACATTCATTTCTTAAAATGAACCTTAGGAACTATTGAAACATCCCCTTGCTATGAAAAAACTTGACGAAAGTTTTTTCATAATGGGCGGGAGGGAATAATGATATTATTAAGTAATTGAATCGAGCTAATCGAATCTACCAATTAAAAGGATGAACACAGAATGACGGAAAGGTGAAGATAATGAGCTAATGTTTTATATTTCTTTAGCAACAATTCTGTTAAATCATTATTTTCTTTTCTGTTGACGACGCCTGCATGTCCTCAAACGTGACGAAAAACGATATTTCAACTCTACGAAGGCAGCACATGAGGGATGGCAAACAGTTGGTGGATGTGAAAATTTGAAAATGTCAAGAGTTTGATATGAGAGAGTCCCCAGGATCAAATGTTGATTTCACCCTTCGTATTTGATCTTTCATGTGAATCTCATGGTGTTCAACTCTGAAAAAAAATTTTTTTTTGTCAAATATTCAAAATCGTATCTCTCCACTCGAATCATTCCCAGATGAGACTGATTGGGTTTCAATTATGACAAATGTTGCTCTAGAGAATGTCTGTTGCACATGACCTCGAATTAACTCCCATGATTATTCATTTTTCCTAAATTTCTCATTCTCAAGAGGAACAATTTCAATTAATTCTTAATGTTGATAATTATTGGGGGAATTTACTCGAGATCGTAACTAACACGATCGTCTTCTAGAGCAATATAATTGTCGTAATTGAAATTGAAATCCAATGAAAAAAAAAATACTTCTCTCGAGTAAACGGATATTCGGCAAAAACATTTTTTTTTCTCAGCGCACATCTTAAATATTCCTGCTATAGAATAAAGGTAAACCTGAAAATCTAGTCGAGTTAAAACTCAGTAAGTTGAATTTTTCACTTGCGAATGTATTAGTGGTCTACTTACAAACATTTGATCCATCCATTCCAGTTATCAAAATTAAAATCAATTTTTAATACTTCTGAACGCGAGCATAACATTGAGAAAAATGAGTAGAAAAATTGAGATATTCTGTCATCATCAAAAGTCACGTTTGAGAATTGAGGTTTTTGAATTGTTTCCTGTCAATTTCTCCTCGAAGAAGGAAAAATATTGGAAAAATCCGATCTGATTGTTTCAATATTTATTTTTAAATTATTATTATTTAACAATTTTTATGATCTAGATTTGTACGTTGTTTCTAAGTAATATATTTTTCCTAATTCTCCCCTTTTTAATATTGTTTTTTTTTTTCATTTTGCAATTGAGGAAAATAAAAATTGAGACAGATTGAAGCGGTTGAGACAAGTTTTATATCATTGATTCTAAATGTAAGAAGATGCAACTGAAGTATTACTAAAATGCGTACGCTAACAGGAAGCATTATTCAGACATCCGTGTAATTAATTTAAAAAATGAAGAGAAACCTTTTTAACTGTGGAACACTATTGAACAATTAAAAACAATTGATAAAATGTAAAGCAGTTGATATTTATGGAATGGAAAATGATGGCCAGTTGAATAAAAAAAAAATGCCATGACCATGTTATTTTTTTTATTTCTGCGCTGATGATTTTGTTATCTCATACATAGACACGAAAATAAAATGAAAATTTGAATTGGTCTTCTAGGCTTTATTAATTTCAAAGGTAATGAATCATTCTTAGAATAAATGGCCTCGCTCGGAATCTAGAATAGATAATAAACATGAAGGAAGAAAATACTGACAATTACTCAATAAAAAATTGCAATTTTATTATGCTAATGGAATTTACAAAGCATTTCACAAGTCATCCTCCTGCTGCCAGCCGTCTTCCTGCGAGAGGAACCTCCTCTTGTGGCTTGTGTTCATGTAGGGCCTGAGGGCCCACTCGGTGTCCGCAGCAGCTGCTGCATCCAAAGTTCCAGATTTAATCTCGTAAAGCTTCAGCTGAAACCTGGGCCCAACCTCCACCAGTTCCACATCCTTCCCATTAACTTTTTTGTAATTGTGATGTCTGAAGGAGATGTAGTCGTCATGATTAGCGAATGTGATCACCCGTTTACTGTCCTCCTTGGGGACTGGGAACAGATACTTCAAGATACTTGTAACCCTGTCCCCAAGTTTACTCTTGAAGTTATGGAAAATGAGATGTGGATACTGCTCGGACATTGTCCCAATGTCGGGGATGTCGTGCCTCATGACGACGTCAGTCATCGTGAAATATGCAGTGGGACCGTAGGGCAAGTGGCAGATCACCAGAGAGTCTGGAATACCTCTGTGTTCGTGGACAATTATGAAATCTGTGACGTCATTGGCACGACATGCGTGGATGAGCTGCTTCATTTCGTAATTTCCTCGGTTCATTCTTTGGGAGTTTGGGAAGATGAGACGCAGCTCTTTGACGAACATCTTGAGACGAGCACTTGGGTCGCGGGAGGTTGTTATCACGATCTTGGGGTCTTCTACGCCTGCCCAACGGTACTCGTCGTCCTCGTGGTCTCCCGTTGCTCCTCCCATCTCTGTTCCTGTCGCTGCTGCGAGCTCTGGACCTGGGGATTTTCAGTCGATTGTGAAAAATAGGTGACACATTTTTGGTCCATCATCTATTTCATATGAACGTATGGTAGATTTGAGAATATTTGAAGGTTATACTAGCTTATGAATAAATAAATAAATAATATATGTACATGTGTAGAATATTATGTTATATATATTTTATATAATGTATGGCAATATATTATATTATAATTTTATATTATATTATAGAAATATAATATAATAATAATAATAATAATAATAATTATGGCAATAATTATTATAATATAATATAATAATATTGTAATTATAATATATATTATAATTTTATATTATATTATAGAAATATAATATATATGATAGGTGAGGGTGGGGTAAAACGGACACTGGACTTTTTTAAAATTATTCATAACTCAGAAACAAATTGATCCATTGAGCTCAGTTTAGGCTCATCGTAAAGGGAAAGAATTGTTCTTTGTATTGAAAGAAAAATCTAATTTTATCAGTATTTCAACCCCTCATTAACATTTTAAAAAAAATCAAAAGTGTGTGTTTCACCCCAATCTCCCCTATATTATTTTAATATTATATATTATATTGTACTTTTATATTATATATATTTTTTAATTTAATCAGATAAATATATAATCTTGTGTGATAAGCTATGCAGAAAAGATGAACGGGAAAAATATAGTTGAAAAATTCGAATATTCAAATTTCAAAAAAAGTTGAACCTTTGGATATAACAAAAATGCTTATGGAATTATTATGAAACAATAAATTTACATGCACATTGATAAAAAACATAGGAGAATAACGTTTTAAGAGGCAAAAACAAAACAAAAAATTGTGAATTTCGACAGCGGACAGTTTATTCCGAAGATTTTTAATTTCGCGCTTGGAAAATGGGACCGATTTCACTCGTAAATGCACCTAATTTCTCAAACCCTACAACGTAATTTTTTCGTCATGCATTTTTTTTCAAATCTCATGACAATGAAAGCTGACAATAACTCCGTTTTAAAGACATTCGAAAAGACATTAATTGTTATTCTTCTGAAGGCAACTTTTGAGATAATTTTCTCTCCCTAATTTCCGCAGATAAATTTCATTAATTTGTCCAATTACCTGCGTCCTCCCATTCTGCTTTCCTCTGGAGATAAAGTGCGGTTTTACGAAGATCAGGGTGGATTGGTGTGTTGTCTTCGAGGCTCTTCTTCAAGCGTTCCTTTTTCTCCTGAATGTTTTTCAGTTTATCTTGAACCGATTTTCGGTAGAGATACTCACGTCTCAATCGAGCTTGTCTACGCAACATGTTTCTTTTTTCACTTAGGCCACAAGGTTTTTATTGTTTATTCGTCACGGAGAAGAGTTTGCGTTCTCACAATTTTTTCAGGTTATGATTGCTCACATGTGGCAAGCTGCAAGCAACAGAGAGAGAGAGAGAGCTGCCAGGTTCGACACGTGCGCAGTGGACTAGGCGCGACTCCGACTCTCCAATACAAATTTCGTCCCCCAACATAATAATAAGTATTAGGGGAGGGTGGGGTAAAATCGACACTTTAGACTTTTTTGAATTATTCATAATTCAGAGACAAATTTATCAATGGAGCTCAGTTTAGGCTCGCCATAAAGGGAAAGAATTGTTCTTTGTATTGAAAAGAAAAATTATTAAATTTTATCAACATTTCAACCCCCCATTAACATAAAAAAAAAGTCAAGTAAAATGGACATTTTAGACTTTTTTGAATTATTCATAACTCAGAAACAAATTTATCAATTGAGCTCAGTCTAGGCTCGCCATAAAGGGAAAGAATTGTTCTTTGTATTGAAAAGAAAAATTATTAAATTTTATCAACATTTCAATCCCCCATCAACATTTTAAAAAAAGTCAAGTAAAATGGACACTTTAGACTTTTTGAATTATTCATAACTCAGAGACAAATTTAGCAATTGAGCTCAGTCTAGGCTCGCCATAAAGGGAAAGAATTGTTCTTTGTATTGAAAAAAAAAATTATTAAATTTTATCAACATTTCAACCCCCCATCAACATTTTAAAAAAAGTCAAGTAAAATGGACACATTAGACTTTTTTGAATTATTCATAACTCAGAGACAAATTTATCAATTGAGCTCAGTTTAGGCTCGCCACAAAGGGAAAGAATTGTTCTTTGTATTGAAAAAAAAAATTATTAAATTTTATCAACATTTCAACCCCCCATCAACATTTTTAAAAAAGTCAAGTAAAATGGACACATTAGACTTTTTTGAATTATTCATAACTCAGAAACAAATTTATCAATTGAGCTCAGTTTAGGCTCGCCACAAAGGGAAAGAATTGTTCTTTGTATTGAAAAAAAAAATTATTAAATTTTATCAAAATTTCAAATCCCCCATTAACATTAAAAAAAAAGTTAAGTAAAATGGACACTTTAGACATTTTTGAATTATTCATAACTCAGAGACAAATTTATCAATTGAGCTCAGTTTAGGCTCGCCACAAAGGGAAAGAATTGTTCTTTGTATTGAAAAAAAAAATTATTAAATTTTATCAACATTTCAAATCCTCCATTAACATTTAAAAAAAAGTTAAGTAAAATGGACACTTTAGACTTTTTTGAGTTATTCATAACTCAGAAACAAATTTAGCAATTGAGCTCAGTCTAGGCTCGCCACAAAGGGAAAGAATTGTTCTTTATATTGAAAAAAAAAATTATTAAGTTTTATCAACATTTCAACCCCCCATCAACATTTAAAAAAAAGTCAAGTAAAATGGACACTTTAGACTTTTTTGAATTATTCATAACTCAGAGACAAATTTATCAATTGAGCTTAGTTTAGGCTCGCCACAAAGCGAAAGAATTGTTCTTTGTATTGAAAAAAAAAATTATTAAATTTTATCAACATTTCAAATCCTCCATTAACATTTAAAAAAAAGTTAAGTAAAATGGACACTTTAGACTTTTTTGAGTTATTCATAACTCAGAAACAAATTTAGCAATTGAGCTCAGTCTAGGCTCGCCACAAAGGGAAAGAATTGTTCTTTATATTGAAAAAAAAAATTATTAAGTTTTATCAACATTTCAACCTCCCATTAACATTAAAAAAGTCAAGTGTCCGTTTTACCTCAACCTCCTCTATTATTATATTTTCGTTTTATATTTAGGACTTTGTAGAATACTGTTGCGGACTGGATTTGTCACTTTTAACTGACTTTCGGGGTTTTCGCGACACCTGTCCGGGTCCGCCCTAATTTGCATATTAGTTATTAGCGCGATCAAGCGTTAGTGTCGAATTATCGTGATTTATTCAGTATTCATGAGACTCGCATCGAGTGTGTATGTACAGTCCGCTCTAGTTATTAACGAGGCTGGTTAATTATCGGCATTTAAAATTATACCGAGTCTCGACGGGAATACTCTTTTGTATTAGTTAACTCCTCGTAGTGATTAAATGTCTATGACTATGATAATTCGTCAGTGTTCGTGTCGATTTATTTAACCCTCTATCCGGACTCAGCGTCCTTGGGTCAGAAGATTTAGAAGAAAGATTTTGAACAATAGAATTTATTATACATTACATTTTTACATGAAAAATTCGTAAAACCTTTAACAAGGTCCATATTCGTAACGCGAGATCATGCTTTCTGGTTCTTGCAGAGAATAAACTGGTCTACGGGTCCCGATAACGATGCACTTTCGAAAAAATGTCGAGAGACCTTTTGATGTGGAGCTTATGCAGCTATCCAAAAGATCTCGTGATCGTTTGTCTCTAATTCGCTCGTTACAATCGACAAAAATATACTTGACTTGTTTAGTTTTACCTCTTCGCTATTGCATTTTCATTCCAACACCCAAATTCGACGGCAATTTCATCTTGAGTGCAATGAAATTATGATTTTCTTTGTCATTGTTGATGACAATGAAAATTTTCGATTTGGCTTACAATGATTGATCGAATCTTCCGCTCGCAAGCACTTTTTTCATTGTTTTTTCCAACGATGGAAGCAAATCGCAATACGTATCAACACATTTTGTCGCGCACTTTTCAAAATCATCTGTCAAACGGTTAACTTCATCTTGCGTGGGGTTGGGGCCCATTTTGTCTTTTATGTGATCGTTGCAGTCCATGACACACCTTTGTAATCGGTGCTGAAAGAAATAGCGCGCAGTGAACTTATTATTTTTTTTGTCGAGTTGAATTACAAAAAGGGATTTCAGTCAATTCATTTATTGCAGTGAAATTTATATTTATTTCGTAATTATTTATTTACGTCGAGGAAAAATAGATTGCAAACCTTTTACTGCAAGTAAAGAATTATGATGAATTGGTCATATTTTCTATAGAATCATTACCTGAACTCTCTCAAATTCGGAATTCACGTACTGCTGGGCTTTCGTCAATGATCCACTGCAGTTTTCGATGCAGTGGTGAATTTTTTGAACACTTGCGGTTTTGTTGTCACAGCAATTGGCCGCACATCTGTGCATATCTCCCTGAAAATGGAAATAATGCAAATTATCACAGAAGCTCGAGCGAAATATCCACTTTTCCGAAAGAAAAAAATTTCCTCGTTTCTTGAAAATAAAATGGAACATCTAATTGTTTTAAATAAATTTTAAAACATATTTATTTATTTATTTATTTATTTATTTATTGATGAACTAAGATAATCTTGAAATATTCCCAAGTCTAGCACATGCTTGGCAAAATAGATTGCTGACCAAAAATGTTTCACATATTTTTTAATAGAGAACTGTGATGTTTTCTGATGATTTAATTAACTACTCATTCTCTCAAAAATCTTGGACACGGAAAAAAAATTTCTGTACTGCTTCTCGCGATTTCTCGTCTGGGAATTGGTATTACATACTTCCCAAACTCGAAAACTTGAAAATCACTACAGAAAAATATTGTTCCTGGGCTGTTGGGATGGGGTTTTTTTACTCGTGTGGTTGGCCAGTCCTCGCCTACGGCTCGGAGGCCAACGCCACACGAGTAAAAAACCCCATCGCAACAGGCCGGAAAAATATTATTGAGTGTCGAATCTCACCACAGAAGTTGATAAATTGAGTCACTCTAAAATTTTGTCAGTAGACGTTGAAGGAATCGTTTTAAAATATCTCCCACCCTTCATTGTTTACGATTAATAATGGAATTGCTTTTTTTCTCAATTTTCCTCGTTTGGAACTATTCGATTGTGGGAAATAAACAATTTATATAACCTTCAAAAATCACGTTACAGAACTTACTTGCAATCCCCTCAAGTAATTCTTGTCAATTTCCTCCACAATTTTCGTCATCTGGTCCTCCACTCGTCTTCTCTGTTCTTCCACCATTTTTAGGTGTTCGTTAATTCAAATTAGCGATAAAAATTGATAAATTACTGGGATCAACGAGGAGTCGAAATGAGAGGGAGCGCGACACGCGACAAGGGACCGCGTGGTGGACTCTTTTTGTCGAAGTCGAACCGACAGAAGAATAATTGGACTTTAAACTGAGAAAAAAATACTGTTGCCAAGTAGGGGAGGTTGGGGCAAAACGGACACTTTTGACGTTTTTAAAAATATTGATGGAGGTTTGAAATTTTGATAAAATTTAATATTTTTTTTTTTTCAATACAAAGAACAACTCTTTCTCTTTGTGACGAGCCTAAACTGAGCTCAATTGATAAATTTGTTTCTGAGTTATGAATAATTTTAAAAAAGTCTAGTGTCCTTTTTACACCCCACCCTTCCCTATATTTACTAAAAACAAGAAAATTTACTCATGTCTCATGAAGATGTTTATATAGGGGAGGGTGGCGTAAAATGGACTTTTGACTTTTTTAAAAATATTCATAACTCATCAACAATTCAGCAAGTCATTAGCATTTGAAAAAATGTAAAAGTCTTCATTTTACCCCATTGTCCCCTGCTAGAATAAAATTATTAATTTATCTAGCGGGGGTCGGATCAAATGTATAATTCACATTTACGGTAAAATACTTTGAGAAATAATGCAATTCGTCAACAATCAAAGAAAAATTCTCCACATTTTTCTTGATTTTTTTTTTTTTTTTGAAGAAAAATTACACAGAAGCTCGAGCGAAATATCCACTTTTCCGAAAGAAAAAAATTTCCTCGTTTCTTGAAAATAAAATGGAACATCTAATTGTTTTAAATAAATTTTAAAACATATTTATTTATTTATTTATTTATTTATTGATTGATAAACTAAGATAATCTGGAAAAATCAAAGAAAAATTCTCCACATTTTTCTTGAATTTTTTTTTTTTTTTCAAATCAATCAATCAAAGAAAAATTCTCCACATTTTTCTTGAATACTAAACAAGCTGATAATTCGTCGGCATCGAGTGTCGAATCTGCATTGAGT